ATCATGTATGCAATGATGTTTACCAAACCTAATGTGGGCCTTGCTATTAGTTTAGCAGGGAGGTACCAAAGTAATTCAGGAGTGGATCACTGGACGACGGTCAAGAACATCCTGAAATACCTGAAAAGGACTAAGGATATGTTTCTCGTTTATGGAGGTGACAAAGAGCTCGCCATAAATGGTTACGTTGATGCAAGCTTTGACACTGACATGGGCGATTCTAAATCGCAAACCGGATAAGTGTTTATATTGAACGGTGGAGTTGTCAGTTGGTGCAGTTCTAAGCAAAGCGTTGTGGCGGGATCTATGTGTGAAGCGGAGTACATAGCTGCTTCGGAAGCAGCAAAGGAAGGAGTCTAGATGAAGGAGTTCATATCCGATCTAGGTGTCATACCTAGTGCATCGGGTCCAATGAAAATCTTTTGTGACAATACTGGTACAATTGCCTTGGCAAAGGAATCCATATTTCACAAGAGAACCAAGCATATCAAGAGATGCTTCAATTCCATCCGTGATCAAGTCCGGGTGGGAGACATAGAAATTTGCAAGATACATATGGATCTGAATGTTGCAGACCCGTTGACTAAGCCTCTCTCACGAGAAAAACATGATCATCACCAAGACTCCATGGTGTTAGAATCATTACTATGTAATCTAGATTATTGACTCTAGTGCAAGTGGGGGACTGAAGGAAATATGCCCTAGAGGCAATAATAAAGTTATTATTTATTTCCTTATTTCATGATAAATGTTTATTATTCATGCTAAAATTGTATTAACCAGAAACATAATACATGTGTGAATACATAGACAAACAGAGTGTCACTAGTATGCCTCTGCTTGACTAGCTCGTTGATCAAAGATGGTTAAGTTTCCTAACCATAGACATGAGTTGTCATTTGATAAAACGGGATCACATCATTAGGAGAATGATGTGGTTGACTTGACCCATTCCGTTAGCTTAGCACTTAATCATTTTAGTTTACTGCTATTGCTTTCTCCATGACTTATACATGTTCCTATGACTATGAGATTATGCAACTCCCAATTACCGAAGGAACACTTTGTGTGCTACCAAACGTCACAACGTAACTGGGTGATTATAAAGGTGCTCTACAGGTTTCTCCGATGGTACTTGTTGAGTTGGCATAGATCGAGACTAGGATTTGTCACTCCGATTGTCGGAGAGGTATCTCTGGGCCCTCTCGGTAATGCACATCACTATAAGCCTTGCAAGCAATGTGATGAATGAGTTAGTTGCGGGATGATGCATTACGGAACGAGTAAAGAGACTTGCCGGTAACGAGATGGAGCTAGGTATTGAGATACCGACGATCGAATCTCGGGAAAGTAACATACTGATGACAAAGGGAACAACGTATGTTGTTATGCGGTTTGACCGATAAAGATCTTCGTAGAATATGTAGGAACCAATATGAGAATCCAGGTTCCACTATTGGTTATTGACCGGAGACGTGTCTCGGTCATGACTACATAGTTCTCGAACCCGTAGAGTCCGCTCGCTTAACGTTTGGTGACGATCAGTATTATGAGTTTATGTGTTTTGATGTACCGAAGGTAGTTCGGAGTCCCGGATATGATCACGGACATGACGAGGAGTTTTGAAATGGTCGAGACATAAAGATCGATATATCAGACGACTATATTTGGACATCAGAATGGTTCCGGGTGAGATCGGGAATATACCGGAGCACCGGGAGGTTACCGGAACCCCCCGGGAGGTATATGGGCCTTATTGGGCCTTAGTGGAAAAGAGGGGGAAGGAGCAAAGGAGGGGGCGCCCCCCCCCCCAAGCCCAATCCGAATTGGGAGGGGGGCCGCCCCCCCTTTCCTTCCTCCCTCCTTCCCTTTCCTTCCCTCTCCTACTCCAACTTGGGAAGGGGGAATCCTACTCCCACCGGGAGTAGGACTCCCCCCTTGGGCGCGCCTAGGAGGCCGGCCCTCTCCCCCTCCTCCACTCCTTTATATACGGGGAGGGGGCACCCTATGGACACAAGTTGATCATTGATCTCTTAGCCGTGTGCGGTGCCCCCCTCCACCATAATCCACCTCAGTCATATCGTAGCGGTGCTTAGGCAAAGCCCTGCGTCGGTAACTTCATCGTCACCATCATCACGCCGTCGTGCTGACGAAGCTCCCCTCGAAGCTCTACTGGATCGTGAGTTCATGGGACGTCACCGAGCTGAACGTGTGCAGTCCGCGGAGGTGTCGTACCTTCGGTGCTAGGATCGGTCGATCGTGAAGACGTACGACTACATCAACCGCGTTGTCATAACGCTTCCGCTTATGGTCTACGAGGGTACGTAGACAACACTCTCCCCTCCCGTTGCTATGCATCACCATGATCTTGCGTGTGCGTAGGAATTTTTTTGAAATTACTATGTTCCCTAACACGAAATGCATGCAGATACTCAATTGAAGTAGCAGACAGAATCTCAGGAATCATACCCTGGTCCTTTCCTTTCTCTAACGCTAATACCGCGGCATGTCAGGATTGCTGTCAAAGATGAACTCTAGGCCATGGAGGAGGCTCGATGTCACGCTTGCTCCTCTCGCACGCCTGATTGTGACCAGCAGGAGCAGGATTCCAACCCCGCGCGCTCCGACCATCGCCATCGGCAACGATTATTGCAAGCGAGGGGGGAGGAGGGGAGGGGACCCCGGCGGTAGCGCATCCGATGGAATTCTGGGTAGAGCATCCATCCGCGGCCTTGCGATGTTGAGCCGAGGCGGATTGAGCGCGTGGAAGTTGCTCCACCTCGCTGCGTGCGCTGGATCTGGAGAGCTCGCCTCCTGAATGACCCAGAACAGGAGCTCCACATCCGATGCGCCATCGACGCCGGTGAATCTCGTGTATTCCTCGAACGTGGCATGTTGAATGATGACGTCGAAGAGATCTGACCACTCCGAGCGGTCTGGGAACCTCTCCCGCACCACCCGTTCCATCTCCCGATACGCCTTCGGTGAGTTCGCATCGACTGGGGGAGGCGGAAGCAACAGTGGCTCCGCCACCCGCGACGCCGGCCGAAGACGACGAGGAGCGCCGCGACGGTGAGGTGCTGTCATCCGCCCCAACGATGGAGGAAGCAGTGGTTGAGCGCAGAGGATGCGTGGTAATGGCGAGCGGGTGGTAGGTAGAAGAATGATGGGAAGGGGAAGGAAATCGCCTCCCAGGCTCCGCTCCCGAGGCGTCCATCCTAAACCCTAAACTCCACGTCTATCACCGGGTCCTATATTTGGATATCGAGGAAGTCTATTTCAAAACTGATGATTTTTTTGGAAATGGATGAACTTTTTTCGTGCGTTTGTTTTTTTGAGTGGAGAACGAAGCGTATGTTTTTTTAGGAAAGAACGAAGCGTGAGCTGGCGAGCGATTCGCTGATTGCCTGGCTGGTCCATACCAGGTGCCGTGTTCGCCTGCTAGTTGGGCCGGCCCACGAGCAGAGGCACGTGAGCGCTGTGCGAAGAGGAATACTCGCAGCCGCCTCGACGGGGATCCTATACGGTGCGTACCACGCCCGCGAGCGCCATGGCGCGTACCCCCGGTTTAGGGAAAGGTTCTAGAACCTTCCCTGAACCGGTTTTTTATGTTTGTCTTTCGGTTTTTCTTTTCCTTTTTTCGTTTTTTCTTTTCCTTTTTCTGTTTTCTTTTCATTGTTTCTTTACTTTTATGTTTTCATTTTTATTCTTGTTTTCCAATTTCCTAAAATCTATTAATTCGTGATTTGTTTTCTAAAATTATTTTTTTAATGATGAACATTTTTTCCAAAATTGTGGTTTTATTTTCACTACATTGTTACTCTTAAATCATGAACATTTTTTTGAAACTGTGAACATTTTTAAAAACTCACAAACTTTTTTTTTGAAATCATGAACAATTTTTTAGAAAGTTTTGAAGATTCTCTTAAGTCATGAACATGTTTTTCAAATCATGGACATTTTTTTGAAATAATGAACATTTTAAAATTAAAGTCTACTTTTTCAAAATCATGAACATTTTTTTCAAATTTTTGAATATTTTTTGAATTAGCGAACATTTTTTCCAAATTCGTGAACATTTTTTTGAATCATGAACATTTTTTCCAAATTCATGAATGTGTTTCGAATTAGCGAACATTTGTTTGAATTTTTTAAATTATGAACATTTTTTAAGTTTGTAAACATTTTTTTACAAATTCGTGAACAATTTCTGAATTCCAGAGCATTTTTCTGTAATCATGATTTACTTATTTTGTGAACATTTTTCAATTTCACAAACATTTTTTTGAAATCGTGAACATTGTTTTAAATTCATGAACATTTTTTAAATTTGTGAACATTTTTTGCCAAATCATGATTGTTTTATTCAAAATTAGCAACTTTTCTGACATTTAGGACCTTTTTCATATCCCGAATTATTGAAAAAAAGAAAAAAAGAAAAAGGAAACATCCGCAAAAAAAAAAAAACAGGCGGCGTCCCGGCCACACATGGGCCGGCCCAGAAGGGGAGCGGGGGGTGCGCGCCCGCTTCCTTCCCAGCGCGTGCTGCGCCCTATAGGCGCTCCCCCGCCTCCACCCTCCTCTGCTGATCCAATCAGGTCAACGCTGCGGCTGCGCCCCCTCCCTCCTCTGCTGCGGCTGCTGCGGCTTAGATCTCCCTCTTCAATCTGGGTATCACCTTCCGCCGCATCTGATTTGGCTATGTTTCACCTTCCGCCGGTTATTGCTCTAATAATTTCCTTCCTCCCTTTGGTAGAGAGATAGGAGGATTCTGAGAAGCAAACCGAGTAGGACTCCTCGAATCAAGTCCGTCCCTTCATCAGCAAAAGAATCCCCGAGTGCCCAATCCAATCCAGTTCTTCGCGTATTCGAATCAGGTTTGTCCTCCGTTTGTGATCTATAAGCTACCCACAAGAACTCTTATCCTCTGTTTCCATCCAAAGTTGTAATTTTTTTTTAATTAAAGCTTATATATATATATATACGGATGCCTGTAGATTATGAAGTCCGGCGGTACGCCTGAGAATAATCGGCGCATCGCGGAAGCTGCGTATTTTCCTCCTCCGTCATTGGGTCTTTGCAAGTCGTCCAAGATTGATTTTGCCTATACGGAGGCCTGTAGCCTAGCCTGGACAATGAGCTTATGGAGTCTCGCTATACACCCAGCATATCTGTGCTCGCTAGTCCTCAGAGCTTTGCCTAGGCTGCTGCGCCTCACTCCAAGTTCACTGAAGAAATTGTGCAAGCATCCTCCACTGATCAAGACTATGGAGGGCGCATCGCCTGAGCTGCCTCAGGACATCTTGATGGGTATATTTGCCACCCTCGAGATCCCTGACCTCCTTCGTGCCGGCTCAGTCTGCTCCTCCTGGCGCTCCGCGTACTCCAGGCTCCGCAGCCTTGGGCACTACACGCGTCCCCAGACGCCGTGCCTCCTCTACACCTCTGAATCTGCCGGCGAGAGCGTTGCTTGCCTCTACAGCCTCGCGGAGAAGAGGACGTACAAGCTAGCTCTGCCAGGGCCACCCATCAGAAATAGGCATCTGATTGGGTCCTCGCAAGGTTTGCTTGTTACAGTTGATGACAGATCAGAGATGCACCTTGTCAATCCCATCACTGGTGAACAGATTAATCTCCCTTCGGTGATCACCGTTGAGCATGTGAAACCCATCTATAATGACTCTGGTGCTCTTCACCAGTACGAGTACTCATACCACTCCGCAAAAATGGTTTACGGTCCGCCATCAATTTTGGCTCTTGGAGAGCTGAGGAACAAGCTTCACCATAAAGCTTTCGTGTTTTCTGATACATGCAATGGATACATTGTGGCGCTCATACACAATCCAGCTAGTCAGCTCTCAGTTGCAAGGGCAGGGGATGATAGTTGGATATGGCTGCCACCATACACCAACTATGATGATTGCATTTACAAGAATGGCCTGCTGTACGCAGTCACTTCATTTGGGCAAATTCACGCTTTCGATCTAAGTAGCCCTGTTCTCACGATGAAGATGATTACACAGGAGCTAGAGCCTGAGGACCGGTTTCTGAATACTTACATTGTCCAAGCTCCATGGGGCAATCTTCTTCAAGTGTGGAGATTATGTGAGCACTGTGATTTAGAACCCGAGCCTGGGGCATCTGTGTTTTGGAGCACTGGAAAACTCAAAATATATGAAGTCGATGCTTCGTCAGGAGAGAAAATTAAGAAAATCAGTTGCTTGCGCGACCATGTGTTGTTTCTTGGGCACAATCAATCACTTTGTCTTACTGCTCAAGACTATCCCGCTCTCAAGGGAAACCATGCCTACTTTACCGATGACAGTGTGCTTTGGACAAGGGGACTCAAGAACAATCCCCGTGATATGGGAATTCTCGACTTGGGTAATAACAGCAGGGAGGAACTTTTTTCTCCCCAGCTTTGGTCCAACTGCCCGGCTCCTGTGTGGATTACACCCAATCTTAGAAAGATGAACCTGGCATTCAATGAATAGGTTTTAGCTTCCTTTATCTATAATTATAGGTAATAATTATTTAGTTTGGTAGGCGGTGGTCCTGTGTTGATGAACTCTGTACTCGTACACTAGAACAAGTTTTTAAGAAGTTTCATGGTAAGCGTATGGCAAAATATGAGGAAAAAAGTAGACTTGTCCAAAAATATCATCATGCACCATACAAAAAGACAAGATTGTACTTATATTACAAAACATGAGTGCAGTCTTTTTTCCTCTTTATCCTAATTAGAATGTACATGGATCATGTTTTTGCACAAATTTTGTATTTTCTCATATTTATTATGTACTAGTGCCACTGTTATTTTTTTTCTTTGATCTTCTTGAGTTGTATAGAATATAGAGGATAATTTCTCATGTAGTTCTCCACACAATAAGATGTGTCAAATCAAATGTAAAAGTTGAGGGATTTGGATGAACTTGCAATATGTACTCTACTGTAACATTCAATCTTGTATGTTGCTGGATTTGGATAATAGCATCAGGGATTTGGCATGTTATTTTCATTCAACTACGCGTTAGAAATATAAGAATCGTATTGTCTCTTTGCTGATGTAGAAGATAAGTGGTAACATTTGCGATAGAGCAGGATGAAAGTATGCATTGTTGTTCTTTCAAAATGCACATCTGGCTTGTTTAAGTATACTGTACAGTGGCAATCTGCTTTGGCAGCTATATATATACACTTACAAACGTGCATCATTTGAATAGCTCATTCCGGGGGCTGAAAGACATCTGTCAGCATGTGTGTTGGCTTAGCTGCAGCTAGTTGGACATGGACTAAGCTGAAATAGCTTGTCTTTCAACAAAAACAAACTATCTGACCAATCTATTTTTTCGAAATAAAATAAGATGTGTCCTTTCGCCTATCTTTGAGCAGAGCTCTAATTCCCTCCTTGTTGCCAGCTTATGTGCCCCATCTGACCTGGTATGTTTCAGCATACAGATCCAGCATCTGTGAGCCGCTTACATTTGGTTTTATATCCATCTTGGCCTAGCTGATCTGTAACGGCACTATGTTGTCAATCTGCTTGCTTGTGCACCCCTGAATAGCAGGATACAGAGGCTATTTTTCACTTGGCGCAAAATAGGAAAGCTACATTATAACCTCCTTGTTGCTGTAATTTTTTTAACTATATTTTGGCTGCCCGTGTGTCTTAGACATGGATTCCAGTACCAGTACTACCTTTGTTAAGTTTTAGTCTTGGCTCTTTGGTATATCTGTCGCTGTCTTTTTGCCTTTGTTTCTGCTAAAATTAATCGACTGGTTTTGATTTCTTGCTCATTCGAAGTTTGTGTGCATCAGATTTCTTTTAAGTGTGAATCTCAGAGCATGGTTCGATCTCTTTTCTGGTTTTGTGTCTTGCGGTCTGTTTTTTTTACTGGGTTTCCAAGTAAACCGACCTGGTTTGAGGTGGGGAGGCCACAGGGGATTCATCCTGCTCAGTCTGAGAGAGAGGTAGGAGATGGAGCATGGAGGGGCCAGACCAGCGCCTGCCGCCGGCAAGGTGTGTACGCCATGCGCGGCCTTTTATTTTCCCCTTGTTTAGTCTGTTGTGTTTTTGCCATCCGAGTTACGTTGCCGACGGGCAGGGAGGATTTTTTACCCCTGTAGCTCTGCACCCTGCGTGCTGCAACGATTTCAGCACTCCTGTACCTATGCTTATGGAATGTACACTGCTAAAAGTTGTGTGGAGGATTGCACAGTGGATTGGCAGCCAGTTCCTTTTGTTTGGTTTTGATTTCAGCACCATGTTCTGTACTTCTTCAGTTCAATTTTCAGATCTACGGTAGTTGTTTTGCAGAGTTTTTCTTCTTCCGTAGTGAGATCTAATATGAAGAATAAGTATGGAAAACTTATTCTGAGCTGCAGCGATTAGCTTGGACAATTTCCCCGAGGGAATGATTGTATTTCCTGGATCTGTGAAGGTAATGCCATTGTGTGTTCATTTCAGTGTTGTGGCATCATTGATTTTCTAAGAGGGGTCTCTTCAATCATCAGTCAATTTGTAGTCCCTCAGTATTTTTCTCTTCATTAATCTTCACTTCCAATCTTGATTAGTCCTTCATTCTTTTTTCTTTTGTTTCAGTTAATCGTCACTTTTTTTCAGTTTGTTCAGTCTTTCATTCTTAAATTTCTTCATTTCTGCTGTGTTATTATTCTTTAGTTTTCTTAATACCTCTTTGTTTACTTTTCACTTTTCAGTCAATTCTTTTTTATCAGTTTTCATTGTATTTGTTTCTTCACTGTTCTGTCCAAGCATGAGCTGAGTAACCGGACAGTCTTGCATTTTAATTCTTTCATTTATCCTTGTGCTTTCTTCAGTCTATTTCTTCAGTTTTTTATCAGTATCTTTTCCTTGATTCCTATTTCTGCAGCTCTTATTTGTCACTACCTAAGTCTTGTATGGTCACATGATGAAACTACAAGTGTCAAGTTCTTTTGGTGGCGTCCTTTTTAGTCATGCCTACAGATCAGTCTTTTCTCCGTCTCCTCCTCACTGAAGTCGTCACTCTTGATGTCTCTTGTTTTGCTCTATGACTATCTCATATGCATAGCAATTTTAGAAGCGATCCTAAAAATACTGGGACTGCTAAGTTGTAAATGCTAACTCTTCTGCATATTTTCTTTTCATTCTTTATCTGTACCAATCCTACCATCATCGTTATAAGTTCTACTCTGATTTTTTTGCATAATGTCCTTGAGTTGTAGGTAGATCTTTTTTTTCTCAACCAGGGGGGACATCAACCAATATTTTCAGGCAAGTCACTTCATTTATGATACTCCCTCCGTCCGGAAATACTTGTCATCAAAATGGATGGAAATGGATGTACCTACAACTAAAATACATCTAGATACATCCATTTCAACGACAAGTATTTCCGGACGGAGGGAGTACCTTTTTACCTTTTTTTTCTCATGTTGTTTGTCACAAGGGTTGGGATTGGTCCATTATCTCAGAGCCAAACATCACTCTGAGTAATTTGGTTGTTCTCCCACCCTTTATTTTGCTCCAACTGAGACATAAATTGGAATAGAAAAATATTGTGTTTCATGCTTACAAAGGCTGGATTGGTCCATTATCCATTGAAGGATTATTTCCTGCTACATCTTGAAATCTTGTTTATCAATTTATAGGCTTCTTTCAGTTTTGGTTATAAAATATTTTGAGTAAGTGTTGTATTTATTGTTGATTTTACGTTTCAGATGTTGGCGAAGTTGAAGATGATTCCAATGTGGTCGTGTTTGTCCATTGGTTTAGATTTTTGAATGATAGTTGTGATGGATCGTATGCCGAATCTAGCCGTTAACTTGGAAGTGTGATGCCTAAGTTATTACGATGGCCAGATTTTCTATCAACTAAGACGCGCGGGAAGTTTTTGTTATGAGTGATTTCGAGACAGGATTGCTCGTGCTGACGACGTTTCACCTGTTTGAAGGAATCTTTTATGACTTTTTGTTGATATAGGTAGCTCGAATACTGTTGGAAAATTTTGTATACGAGTAAGTTCACTTTGGAGGGACTGACGAACTTTCTTAATGCTTGGCATGATGTTTCTTCCAGTGGTAATGCAGAAAAATCAATCTGCTTTTTGATTAATGCTCCTTTATTATGTAAGAAAAATTGGTTATATGCACTATTTCAGTTTTTTAACAGCGAGTATACCTTGTGTTTTTTTTTAACTTCAGTGTACTTTGTATCTCCGGTTTCAGTTTCCAGGAATTGCTTTGGGGTGTGATTAGAACAGTCAGGTGGGCATGGAAAATAAATAAATTGCAAAATCATGTTCACCGATCCACCCACAAGGTGCTAAATAAATGGATAGAAAATAAACGATGAGGCTGGGAGGAGTATTTGAAGTGTTGGTTTTTCTGGCCTATACACGTGCTTGGTTATGAATGGCCCAAAATTAGACAGATTCCGAATTGAAAAACAGTCAAGTACTAATAAACAGACATCCACACCCTTGGCCTTTGTTCTTAGCCCATTGCTTAGTAGCTTTATCAGTGGTCATCAACTTAAACTGCAGCAGTGGGAATTTTCTTTGTTTGAGCCCGGAGAACTGAAGGAACCAATTTTTGGGGCGTTGGCCTTATTTGGTAGGAAAAGAGCTATGACTTTTGTTTGCATCATTGCTACAAAGAGCTGGATCGACATGAGAAGTAGACAAGAAGGAACTATGTGACAACACCGAAGAGGCAAAGGCTCAACACCATTATTGTTGATGATGCCGACTTAGGCCTTCCACTATGTGTTAGGTGCCAAAACTCTGAAAAGTTTGCCACATACACATCTATGTCAGATACAAAATATTTAGCACCGCTCACACCATGTTGAGAAGTTAGCATCGATTGAAGCTTGGACCCACATACATAAAATAGTATAGACCAGGCCAAGACACCCCACTGCCAGCGTCTCTCCTTCCTGGCTCACTGCCCTCCTTCCTGACTCACTGCAGTACGACGCCCTTACTTTATTTGCTCGATGGATTTGGCTTCGGAGCAAGTAGATGCTCCGGTGCCCATGAATTTTTATTTGGCATCGGCTTGACAATGTAGGGCATCGGTGCCAAATATCCAAAAAGCAAATTTGGCATCACTTTTGGCCTACATAGTGGAAGGCCTTAGTAGAGAACCCATCCACTCCTTTCGTCCGGCCAGATGGATCAAAATTGCAAAGCATACCAAGAAGAATGGTGGTGTCGGAGCATACAAAGAAGAGTAGATTGCGATTGTGGAGATGAAGAGGGCATTGGCGGCCGACCGGAAGGAGAAGATGACTTGTTTCTATGAGATGAAGATGATGGAGGAGACGTGGAAGAAAAGACGGCGGCCAAAGAGAGGAAGGTGCTAGCGGAACAAAAAAGACTTGAAATTGAGACGAAAAGACTTGCATTAGAGGCCAAAATAATACTAATAAAGATTAAGCTTGAGGAGCAAAAGCTTGCATTGGCGGTCGAGGAGCAAAGAAGAAAAAGAG